CTATCTTCCCTTAGACAGTCCTAGCAGTTGGCACATTTAATAAAACCACAGCATTCGATCTCAGGCAGTAGCCTTGGATAATAATCCAATTCAGAGTGAAACCTTAATTCTAATGTGGCCCACGATGAAATTGAGTTTGACACCCCTGGTATAGATAGATTGATTGATTGAGTGTATTAGTATCAGATGTCAAAGGGCAATGTTACACACTGCCCAACAACTGCAACTGTTGAATCTAAATAAACTGAAAGAAGATATTAGGAGCATGTCACTGTGACCCTGATTGCAAAAGATACCGTATGAAGAAATATGATAGGAATAGAAAGTTATATAACGTTATGAAAGAAGACCAGAGAACAGGATTGTAGTGTTGTCCTGTACTGAGTAATAAGTATTGAATAAATCCTGTTCGGCTGCACCTGAATCCACCTTTCCAGCTTCTTCTTGATCTTAAAGTAGTGTTTTTCTACACACCATGTTTGTGTTGCCGGTCGGAAATCCAGATACAATACATTGAGACATGCAGGCAGCTATAATAACACAGTCTTGCACTAATACATTAGCGTACATTTCTCAAAGATATTGAAGTGACTGTTAATTTATATATATTGATTGTTGTGCTTTTATTCATGTCTTAATGTGTGCATATGTGTCTGTTGTTTGAGTATATATAGGTATTGTTGGGAAAATACTGAATGAACTCTTCCAATATCAGAGTAGCACATGATATCAAAGGCCCTACGTAGCTGAACATGACAGGATGTATGATTGATTATCTAGAAGAGCATCAGGACTATTTTAGGCATATGACTCAATGTGATTAACATGATGATTCAGCCTCTATGGAGATAGACATAAGACTGTCATGTTTATTGCTTACGCAGGCCATAGCTAATCTGAACTAAACATAGAATACTGCTTTGAACCGGTATTCAGCATCTTGTGATACTCTTGTATATCAGCATGTGAAGGACACTGTTCAGGAGTTGAACCATATGCTCTGTATGTGATGACTACTTCCATTATTGCAAGAATAATAAATACATGGATCCTGATATTGAAGCTCAAGGCGGTGACGAGTGATATTTTTCCTAACAGGTATATACATATTTCTATACATATTTTTATTTATATTTGTTTTTTTATTCTGGATTGTGGGAAACTGTATTTCGATCTCTCTGTCTGTACAGACACAAACTGAAAAGTAGACTTTTGACATGAGGTACCGTTGGGGAGCTCCGGGTGGAGGAGCCAGAGCTCCTTGCAGGTTCGGGCCGGGCTGAGGTACGTCCCATGGGGGTTTCTCAGACCATCCACCTCCACCTTCATCGAGGACAGAGACGCAAACACCTCCTCCATGCCTTTGCCCTCCGTCTCCTTCATCCAGGCGTCCGGCTCTGCCTGGTCCGCCTGCATCCATTCATCCTCTCCTCCATCCCTTGTTTGCTCCTCCTCCTCTTCAAGTGAAGCACCGTCCACCAAGGAGTTGGTTCTCCTCCTGCGTCCTCGCTCTGGCAGAGGGGAGATGCTGACTGCTGGCTTTCCCTGAGGAGACGAGAGGAATAGATATGGGAGAGAAAGATGAGAGAAGAAAGGAGAAGAAAGAGAAAAGGGGGTCAAGAGGAGAGGAGAAGAGAGGAAAGGAGTAGAGAGGGGGGAGATTAGAGGAGAAGATTAGATAGGAAAGGAAAGGAGGAATGAGGGGAGGAGATAAGACGTGAGGAGAAGAGAAGATAGGAGAGGGAAGGAATAAATAGGAGATGAAAAAAGGAGAGGAGAGAGGAAAGGGGATAGGAGAGGAGAGAAAGAGAGACAAGAGGAGATGAAAGGAGTAGAAGAGAGAAAGGAAGGAGGAAAGAAGATAGGAGAGAACAGGGAGAGATAAAAAGGGGAAGAGGAGAGAAGAAAGAAGGAGTTGGGAGGAGAGAACATTAAAGTGGAGGGAAAGAAACAGGTTTAGATCAGGTGGAGATCATTTGATTGCTGTTAAATGAGTTGTTCGTGTTGGTGAACATGTCTTTAAGCAGAACTCACTGGTAGTCCTGGAAGTCCGGCTGGGCCGAGGTCTCCTCTGGGGCCAATCGGACCCTAAACACAGAGCAAAGGAACCATTTCAGGGTGGATATGAAGCTCCAAAGTGATAATACTGACATCAATTCAATTAAAGAATAAGCGTCACAGTTACCTGGTTTCCTTTAGAGCCCTTTGTACCAATGGTACCCTGTCAGAGGAAAAGAGTTAACGTTAAAATCACAAAGAGGTAAGATGAATCACGCACGGGTTATCCTGATGTGGAGGAAGCAAGAGTTTAGGGTTTACTCACGGACAGACCCGAGGTGCCGGGGGGGCCGATGGGACCTGATGTACCAACTCCACCCTGATATCACACACGAGAGAAAAGAAAATGTGAGAAAAAGTCAGCAAGGTGTGCTGGAGGAAATACTACAACGTTCAGGTTTTTTGTGATAACAATTATAATTGATATCCTTTTAAAATGCTGGGGTCCCAATGAAATGGTAAAATGGTAAATGGACTGTACTTATATAGCACTTTATCCAGTCTTTAAGACCCCTCAAAGCGCTTTACATACTACATGTCGTTCACCCATTCATACAGAGCAGTGTACCTTACTCTAGGAACTAACATTCATACACATTCACACACCGTTGGTCATGCCATCAGGAGCACCTCAGGGTTAAGTATTTTGCCCAAGGATACATCGATATGTTGACTGCATGGGCTGCGATCGAACCAACGACCTTCTGGTTGAAAGACGACCGCACTCCCTCGCATGCAATTCTACTAGGCCTGCATGTGCCTGTATCAAAGTAAATCTGAAGCCTTTAATGGGATATGACTATAGCAGGATCATTACAAATACAAATAAATGGTTGCTTAATACTAAAAAATAAATGTTATTAAGCTAACCAAAAAAAATCCATGTACCAGTTTCCTAAAAAAGTACATTCGAAAAGTTTCGACCTCAGCTTTGACATTGTCTCAACTCTTTTTATGTTAGCTACATTATGCTAGTCAGGCTATCCGATTACATACTATAGTCAGATATACAACAGAAACTATGCATGGACATTGTTCAACCAACAGAAGACAACACTATATCTAGCAACATCTACTGATATGCTAACTATAAGCTTTAAATAAATTCAAGCAAACCAGATCGATTGCCTTCATATTTCATTAAGTTCATGAACACATGTTTGAATGCCTTGATTTTTACAGAAAGTCCAATGGTCCATATATCAGTTTTGTTTTAAAGTGATTCTGTACATTTAATGTAACCAAAAATCAACTTTATGAGTTTCTTTGTTGAAAAGAAACACAAGTATTAAACCACGGTAGGAATCAAACTGAACTGTGCCTACAGTAACACTAATATCATGTTGTGGTCCAAAAGCCTGCACACAAGTTGCCTCCTTTTCCTGGATGGTCTCGTGTGTATCTGTGTGTTTGTTTGTGTATATGTTCAGCACCTCATCTCCTTTGGGCCCCGTCTGTCCCTGGTTTCCTGGCAGTCCTCGGTCCCCCTTCTCTCCGATGTCTCCTGGCGGACCTATCAGACCTATTAAACCCCCGTGACCCTGAACAGACATCACAAATGAGCTCAAAGTCAAAATCAGGTTAAGTTCAAAGTGAATATTTGTGTGTGTTAGGGTTAATCATGGCACCTTGTCTCCTTTCTTGCCGTGGTCTCCCTTAAATCCTGGTAATCCTGTTGGACCCTGAGCAGAGAAAGTTATCATGAGGTCAAACGCATGATGTAACGCTCCGTATTATCCATTTCAAGACGCAGCAAACGCATAACCACACTTGGAAATCATTACATTCACATCATTAATAACATTTGACTTCAACAACTTTTTTATTTCCTGGGCTCCAAATGCAAACAAAATGTTAAGATCTTATGCTTTACTTGATCTGATTATCTCACCATGCTCTCATTCACAGGTCATGTGATAGTATTCATTTGATAGTAGAAAAGCGCATATAAAAACTCATTAATGTATCACTCTTAACAAAACAAATTGCTTTGGTAAAGGGTTATACATATATGTTCCTGTTTGGGCAGGCGTTTGGGTAACTTGTGTGCTTTTATTCTATTTTACAGTTTTTATCGTGTATTGTGTTTTTCACAATGTATTGTGTTTTTAGCACTTTGTCAAGCACTTTGTGACTATGTCTGGGAAAATCGCTTTATAAATAAATAGGGATGTAACGATACCAAAAACTCACGGTATGATAATATCGCGATAAAAAGTCCACGGTACGATATTTATCGCGATATTGAAAAATAAAGGAAAAAAATGTGAATTTTTTTTTTTTTTTTTACTTTCATTTTTTTTTTTTATTAATTAATAAATCTGATTTGTACAGCATTTTAGTAGGATAGTAGTATTTTAAAGTGTCAACAATATAATAATCAGACCCTGCAATAGAATAAATCAAGTTTCACTTTAGTTTTTCAAGTAACTCAACTCTAACTCACTCACTCAGCATCATCAAGGTTATCTTTTAGGAATATGAGCATGTCCACATTTCCAGGTAGAAGCTGGGATGTTTGGGCGTTTACAATATCCCCTGCTGTGGAAAAAACTCTCTTGCTTGGTACTGATGTTGCTGGGACAGAGAGATATGCTTTGGCCATGGGTGACAGCAGTGGGTCAAACTGTGCATTGTCTTTCCACCACTTCAAAAACAATACAGTTGTTGCCAAGAAGGTGAGGCTTATTGACAGGGCGAGATATAAATATACTGTTGGTACTTGTCTATGTCTCTAGGTATGTACATGTAGCCCTTTAAATACAATGTCCTTTTGTGTTATCTGTTGTTTTATGTTCATGTTGTAACCTACTTGTTGCCATGTTGGAAAGGTCTCCCTTGAAAAAGAGAATGATGACCTCAATGGGACCATCTGGTTAAATAAAGGTTTAAAAAAAAAATATATATAAAAAAAAAAAAAAGTAAAAAATCGCGGTAGATTTGGTCAGTCTCACGACGGTATTGAGACATCTATTTACCGCGATATCGCGATATTCGATATATCGTTACATCCCTATAAATAAATGTTGCTTACTTTTTTACTTACTTACTTATACCTCTTCTAGTTTAGCAGAATAGATGTGATATTAGTCTTTTTATCACACTGTCATATACTGTCAATAGATTGCTTTATTTTCTCTTATTTTTATTATGAAATAGTATTTTTTTTCTGCACTTTATTCTAGATTTGATGATTCATCTCACCATGGGGCCTGGGGGTCCTGTTTGGCCAGGTGCTCCGTTTAAACCCTGTTCACCCTGAGAGAAAAACACAAGAACAGAAGTCATTGAGCATCCATCTTTTCCACGCTCCACTTAAACGGCTCCATTCTTCACTGTCTGACTCACTCCAGGGCCGGGGATCCCTCTCAAACCCTGAGGGCCGGGCTTTCCGGCGTATCCCTGGGCACCTACGGGCCCTGTCTTTCCTACGGGGCCTTCGAAACCAGCTTCCCCCTGAAACAGACGAACAGCAAGGTGACTTTCAGGAGCTGCGAGCATTCAGCTGTTAATATTCAAAGAGATGTTTCAAACTCTCACCTTTGTTCCTTTCAGGCCGGCCTTTCCTTCCTTTCCTGCTTTTCCCAAGTGGCCCTGAAGGAGAACAATTTAAAACATTTCAACCTGAATCTGTCAGACGCTTCGATGCACACACACTTACACACACACACACACACACACACACACACACACACACACACACACACACACACACACACACACACACACACACACACACACACACACACACGTAGATCTAGAAAAGTACCATGAACCTCCTTACTATTCTCACAAAGGACTAGGGTTTAATCTTTAACTTAAACAGACATAACATAATTTTCTGCCACTCTTGGTCTCTCGATCAAAACAGTAATAAAAGTGAGTTTGGTGACATTGTGAAATCACTCTGGGTTAAGCTGTTTTCTTCATACCATGAATAAATAAGTAAAAAATGTAAAAAAACTGGGGTTTTCTGACGTATCTCGCTCGCCAACGATTGCTAATGTTTCCGCGGGTTATAATATACAGTTTAAAAAGTCCAAGATCTAAAAATGTATCATAAATGGGGATACAATCCTATTTCTGGCAACAACAAAAAACATTCCTTAACAATACAAATGAGAGTTTTCTCTAGGTTTTAAATTGTTGAAAACATTTGGGATAATGTAAGAACATTACTCAAAAACAAATAGGTCTAATTCTTTAAGACCTTTTATTGCGAAAAGTGAACATAAGAACACAAACCCTTCGCCCAGGAGATCCAGACGGTCCTTGTTCTCCTGCCGCTCCTGGTGGTCCCTGATGGATATAGGAAACTATTTATATGGCCAGTTGGATGATAACATCATCTTTCAGGTTTATCAAATAAAGAACGCCATGGATGATATGGTGTATGATGAGAAAGGGAGGAGCTCACAGATTTCCCGGTGTCTCCTATGTCTCCTTTGGTCCCCGCCGCACCATCCACTCCCTGATGAGGACAACAAATAGAAAAATAGTTAACAGGTGAAAACTACATTTCTATTGCATCAGAAAGTAACATTTAAGTTTTGCAACATCAAAGATTTGAATTTAGAAAACCTTAATTTAAAGGGACATGCTAAGGTTGATAATATCAGGAGAGATATTAAAGGAGAATACTAAAGCAGAAGCAAGGGATTGGTGGTTGTTTTTGTTTAAACATCCTGTCATGAGGGAATTCAGTCTTTCATTTTGTCGAAATAAATAAAATATCTTCTTAAAAACCTTACACATTATCTTTAGACAAGAAAAACAAATCAGGATTCCGAAAAATATTTTATATTATATAATTGTTCATTATTAATCCTTGATTTAAATGTAATTTTGACCTAATTCCATACGTAACTCTTAAATCATGTTTTCAGAAAAAGTTGTAATCCCTTTTTTTTTAAAAACTGCATTTAAATATCAACAAGATTTCCATAAACAAAATCAAAACAATTTAAATTGAAGATGAAGAAGAGGGAAAAGAGCAAAAGGTATAGAAAGTCCAGCACTCACATTGGGTCCAGCCTCTCCCTGCTGTCCGAGGTCCCCGGTGAGACCAGGAGGACCCTGAGGACAGAAAGAGCAAATATAACATCATATCTTAATGCTTTCATTTGCTTTGAATCATCTAGTGCCTACAAACACAGAGAACCGTCACTACAGAAGCATCAACGTTGAGTTAAACCTGGCAGAACATGTTGTAATGCATTCATTTTGTGTGTCTTTTCAGGCTTATTATTAGTTCAAATATAATGAAACATTGCCCTGGAGCTTACGTTATATCTACAGAAGATATGGCCCTTGGATAATATTCATGAAATCCAAGAGAACATAGAGTTCATAGGTCCTTCCACTATCATGAATATTTATGCTGAGTCCGTTGCTGGGCTATTTTCTCAATCATTTTTGGATTTAGACATAGCCCCATTCAGTTATGTAATACAGAGATGAAAGTTGAGTTTTTCTACAGCTAGCTTTCACCCGTAGCTCACTTTTTTTTTAGCTTTATACAGAATGTTTCTCTGTAGGAGAGTAAAGCTTTAAGAGTCAGAGTTTAGAAACTGCAGTTTGCCTTGGTTCGGCTCTGTTTTGTGTTTTTTCTACACACATAGGGCATTTGTTACATTGTAAAATCTGATGTCCAGATTTTACCTCCATTTTAACCAAATATGTCACTTTGTTTAGCCTTTCTAGTAGGGCTGCTCAATTAATCGTATTTTAATCGCAATTACGATTTTGGCTTGCAACGATTATGAAAACAACATAATCGAAATAAACGATTTTATTTTATTTTTATTTTTTTTGCTTTTTCAGTTTAATTATACTTAAAGTTCAGGGTGATCAACTGTTAAAAACATACTGTTCAAAATCTTTTTCAATAAATGGATGTTTTCAAAGTAAATGGATAATCGTTTTTAATAATCGTGATATCAATTATTGACCCAAATAATCGAGATTATGATTTTTGCCATAATCGAGCATCCCTACTTTCTAGGGCAATGAACAGTAAAGTATATTATGGAACAACTATTTTAACGTGTGCATTATAATGTAGGTTCAAAGTGTATCACAGAGCTTTGTGTTGCATTATAATCTACCAGAGGTGGGGACTCGAGTCACATGACTTGACTCGAGTCGCATATTTTTTTACTTGAGACTTGCTTGACTAACATGGATAAAAGACTTGACTTGACTTTGACTTGGTATTCATGACTTGAGACTTGACTTAAGCTTGAGATAGATGACTTGANTAGTATCAGATGTCAACATCTGCAACTGTTGAATCTAAATAAACTGAAAGAAGATATTAGGAGCATGTCACTGTATACGGTATCTTTTGCAATCAGGGTCACAGTGACATGCTCCTAATATCTTCTTTCAGTTTATTTAGATTCAACAGTTGCAGATGTTGACATCTGATACTAATACACTCAATCAATCAATCTATCTATACCAGGGGTGTCAAACTCAATTTCATCGTGGGCCACATTAGAATTAAGGTTTCACTCAAAGGGCCGGTTGCCTCTGAATTGGATTATTATCCAAGGCTACTGCCTGAGATCGAATGCTGTGGTTTTATTAAATGTGCCAACTGCTAGGACTGTCTAAGGGAAGATAGCTTTTAGTTGCGCAGCTCCACTATCTTGGAACAGTCTGCAAAAGGAATGGAAGCTGAGCAATTTGGTTCCATTCAATGTTTTTAAAGCAAGGATAGATGCTATCCAATCGGAAACTGTTGGAACCTGTAAATGTTACTAGCTATGTAAACTGTAGTCGCTGTAAATATGCTGTATGATGTCCTTTTTGTTTTTCTGTTATGTTTATATGTATTCATGTGGAACCTACTTGCAGCAGGTCACCCTTGAAAAAGAGATCAATGATCTCAATGGGATTCATCTGCATAAATAAAGGTTTGAAATTAAATTAAATTATCGTATAGGATAATAACTTAGTAATTAACTACGTCTGAAAGCAGAAGTCCAGGGCAAATAATTGCAAGTCTCTTCAGTGTGCATGTCACAAAACGAGATGCATTGTGGGACATGTAGTTTATGGGCAACCTGCTTCTGTAAAGCGGCATGTAACCGTATAATAAACGTATTATATTCTTTGCAAGCTCTTGCGGGGCCACATAAAATGAAGTCGCGGGCCGGATTTGGCCCCCCTGATCTATACTATATATACAACTGACCTTTGTTATTCTAATTCACTGTGTGTGTTGTGCTTCTCCAACTGATACCATCTGTTTGATTTATCTCTGTTAGGTGTCTTATCTGGTTGACAGTAGTATTAGCCTTGAGCTTTTCTGACCTGTCTGCCCTACTGTCGATTTTTCTCCGTCGCTCCAGGTGACTACTGGATAGATCCAAACCAGGGTTGCCATAGAGACTCATTCAAGGTGTTTTGTAACTTCACCGCAGAGGGAGATACGTGTCTTTACCCTGCTAAGAAGTTCCAGTCGGTGAGTTTACATACGCACACACAGACGCACGCACACACACACACACACAAACATACACACACACACACACACACACACACACACACACACACACACACACACACACACACACACACACACACACACACACACACACACACACACACATTCTCCTGTTCTTGGCATCTGTGTATCTTTCGGTTCGGTTTAGTTGAAGCTGAGTGTATTGTTTTGTTTGTCATCAGGTAAAATTAGCAGCCTGGAAAGGAGAAAAGTCTAACACCTGGTACAGTAAATTCAGGAAAGGAAAGCAGGTAAGGTGTTATGATTTTGCACGCTATCATTGCATGTCAGTGTGTTTTTGTACATGACTTCAAGGAAAAATGACTTCAAATAGGAAACAGTTTAATCCATGCTTCAAATGTAGGACATATTTGGTAAAATGCTATTTAGCAGTACTTGTCGGCTTTAGAATGCAATCAAATTATAATAAGTGGGTATTTGAAGGAGCATTCACAACATTTGGCAGATGTTATTTAGAGTGTCAACATTGCCTCTCAGTATCTATTATTGTGTCAAAAACATTACATACATTGAAGTAAGACATTTTGGCAGCAATCACTCATCAGTAACGAGTCAAGCAGAAAAGGCTCTCTATCAATCTAAAACAGAATTGAAAAGTCTAAAATAAAATGTAAATAAGTATAAATCAGTGCTGTTATAACCTAGGTGTGATTCTCAAAGTCAAAGTCAATTGTCAATCCTTTAGTTTGTGTGTACAGACAGAGAGATCGAAATACCATTTCCCACAATCCCGAATACAATAACAAGGATATATAACAATATGTAAAATCCTATATATGCACAGACACATTTATATATATGCACACATTAAGACGTGAATAAAAGCACATCAATCAATATATACATCCTGGTGTTCTCGGTGCAGATTTCCTACTCGGGGGCGGACGAGGTCCCGGTCCACGTGGTCCAGCTGACCTTCCTGCAGCTGCTGAGCGCCACGGCCAAGCAAACGTTCACCTACCACTGCCTGAACTCGGCCGCCTGGCTGCACGCCGCCTCCTTCAGCCACCAACACGCACTGCGCTTCAGAGGCGCCGACGGGGAGGAGCTGACGCACGAGAACACACATTACATCAGCGCGCTGTACGACGGGTGTCAGGTGAGTTACACAGAAATACACAATAGTGTTGTTATAGTCATCAAAAACTAAAATAAGTCATTGAAGATATTGTTACTAAAATGAAAGTCAATAAAGTATACCCTATGAACTGTGAATGAATTTTCTTCAACTTTTGTGCCATTTAAAAAATTCACATTTAATGGACATGAAACATTAGGCCTTATGGCCCTTTCATTCCAAGTTCTCAAATCATATATTTTGTATGTAGCTCTATATTTATGAGACCTTTAAACTCAAATGAAATGTGTAAAAACTAAAACTCCCGAATAACTGAAACTAAAATAAAACTAGCGAACACATTCTAAAAATCAATGAAAACAGAAATATTATAGCCTTCTTAAGTCAAGGTAAGTTTATTCATATAGCACAGTTCAAATACTAAGGCAATTCAAAGTGCAAGAATAAATTAAAATAAACATTGGAAATTCAGTCGACGTAAAGGATTCAAGAGCTGAAGAACTTTCAGAATAAAACAAACCCCTGAATGACCTCGGGAGAAGCAGTGGGAACAGAAACGTTATTGAGCTTTTTGAGTTTCCCCTTCCCTGTAATGTATTATATAGGTTTTTGTGCATGTAATGGTCTGCAAAGGCTAAAATCCCAAAGTTCCTGAAACACTAGCGCTTCTTTTGGCTAGCGCTCCAACACATTGTACGTGATAGGCTAAGGGACGGGACATCTCTAAGCGGTCGACCAATCGCAACAGAGCCGGCCAGCAAACCAATCAGAGCAGACTGGGCTCTGGTTTCAGACAGAGGGTGAGAAGAGGTGCTGCAGCACAGGCAGTTTGAGAAAAATCAAGACCTTTTTGAACATCAAAGTGGACCTATCATGCTATATTTGAATAATATAGTGTAGGACCATGCCTATATAAGGCATATTTATACTTTTTCTTTTTCAAAATACCAAACAGATCATGCATTTTAGCCATTCCTAATTTCGCTCAATTTAACACTGTCTTTGCATGGGCTGATTCTGTGAGAACAGCACCATCTACAGGCCTGGCATATGTACTACAGCGTCTCCAGCGCTTTCGAACGGCAATGTCCGTGGCTGTCTCCTCCTGATTGGTGGAGTTGGCCCAATAGCTGTAGCGCCACTTCTGTGACGTCATAGAAGTGTTCAAATCTGGATCAGTCTGTATCAGATCCGTTGCAGCCCCTTTTTAAGAGATCTGGTATGGAGGAAAATAGAGAGGGTTGTGTTTTCTGACACTTGGTGAGTTCCCTGGAACACCGGGGACACATATTCATGTATAAAAGACGTACAAAAGTGCATTTTGCATGATAGGTCACCTTTAAAGCATGTAGACATGTCACAGTAGAGACACAAAATACAAATATGAACCTGAAAATAAACAGAATACGGCCCCTTTGAGCCTTGATGTATTTATTGGTGTGAACACATCAACTGATTTTTTATTTAAATGTGTTTTTCTGCTGTAGACGCGCTCGGGGCAGGAGAGGACGTTGTTTGAATTTGACGCTCCACTGTCCACCACGCTCCCAATCATCGACGTGGCCGTGCCAGATTTTGGGAAGGGGAACCAGAAATTCGGTTTCCAAGTCGGGCCGGTCTGCTACAACGGTTAACAAGCCGGAGGAGATTACAACAGGAGTAATTTAATAGTGAAAAGAGCCATGGACACTTTTTACATGCAGGGAGAAAACTACATTCAAGACTTACCTGGTGCCACATATTTATAAGTAGATTTACCTACAACAGTGTTCCTTCGTGTAAACATTCTGTCATACGGACATTTATTCACTCTCCTTAATTCATCTTATTCATCTCATGCATTCTCACAACTGACTTGCATATCTTGTTTTCGAGAGCAGTGAAGCGTAAATGTATTGAATGTCAATCACATCCGAAGTTACACACATTTCATTTGTCTGTCCTTCCTCTTTCAAGAAGTGGTGCTCTTACTGTTTTATCCTTGTCTGTTTATACGTTTATTGATCTATGCACTCATTCCAATCCATAAAAGATCTTTCACCAAACTTTATTATTACTGAATTATCCTGAAAAATACAAAAACACCACATTTCAGCAACATTCACCCACCATGTTTTTCTGTTATATCATCAAACCTCAATTTGCTGTGTTGTTTTTGTTTGTTGTTGTACTTTTGTTGTTATGATTTTCTGTTATCAGATGTATACTGGAGTGTTATTCATCACGGTGCTATCATGTGGCTCCTTGTGGAGTACATTTATTTGTAAAGGGGAAGTGGGGCAGTGCATTTTTTTTATATTGTGAAGTGTGTTTTATATTTTTTCAACACCTAAAAACAAACTGTGGCACATTATTGCCTCAAGGTCTTTCTATGCATAGTTGTATGGGGGAAATGACGGAGTAACATATTTTAATAAAAGTACAAAATGTACATTTAAATTAAGATATTGAGATTTAGATTTGTTGAATAGGTTAGTTAAGTAGAGGAAAGCAAAGAAACACATCAACTGCTCTACAGCTTGAAATTCCCTTCAGTGTCTCTTTTATGTCTGCACTTTGATCTGTTTTTCATAATATTCACCCTGCACTTCTCTTTCCAGCGATACAGGGGGGCTGATGACTGCATCAGTACAATTTCAATTAAAAAGCCTCTTTTAAGTGAAATCTCTCAACGACACTCATGATCCCCCGAGGATGATCCTCTCTTCCTTCGAAATTGATTATTTTTAGCTAAATATCTCGTCAATTATTGCATGACTTGTCATTAACCTTGATACTAAAACTCAAGGTGCAGAGAGGGTCCATGCTAATGTCTTCCCCTGACCACAAACAGGCTGATATGCACGGTTTAAATACGACTGCATTAAGTCACACTGCCTCCCACATACTTATTCAGTATGTACTGCATACTGCCTAAATATACAATTAAAAAGGTAAATATTTGTATAAACGTACTATGCAGCAGCTGCAATCACTACATACTACATTTGACTACATACTAAATATGAATGGTATGTTAGTATATGACTCGGAGGGATATAATATTTGGTCATCTTCCACCTAAGGATGAATTGTAAAAATTGATCTCTTAACTTTTCGTTTAGCTCAGCTCTGCTCGAGTAGAGCCACAAAGAGCCCCTATGTGTCTTGTTAGATCAGCATTTGATCTATTATTTCTACCATAACAAATGTTAAGATGGTTTTAGGGCACCATATATACATTTAAAGAAGTACATAGTGCTATAACAATGCACCACATACTTGCTGAAGCACTTAATGGATTGCCTTCGACTTGTTTTTTTTACCTTAAAGTGCATCATAATTCATCAGTAAAAGCTTAAATTAAATTGTTGAAGCAACCGGTGAAGGGATGACAACATTTACGGTCTAACGGTGTTACACCTAAAAGCCCAGCAACGGCTTTTTTGAACCAACTCCAAAGGCATATAGTATAATTGTCTTTAGGTCAGCAGGAGCACACAGAGCTTTTAAGGTTGTCTTTTGTCATTTGAATCAAAGTCAATTTCTAAATGTTGGGCCTTGAGGGAGGTACATTTGGTTGGCATGAAGCCAGGTTTTTCATGTCCTACTTATACTTTTGTACTTTTACTCAACAGTAGTGTAAGTAATAATGTTATTGTCTGGCCTATAAGCAGTAATGGAAAGTAACTAAGTAAATTTACTCAAGTAAAAAGTTGAGGTAGTCCTACTTTTACTTTACTTAAGCATTTTCATTTTATTCTAGTTTACCTCCTCAAGTCCACTACATTTTGTGAGCAAATGCTGTACTTTTCACTCTATTACATTCAGTTGTTATATTTAGTAATATACTAATTTACTAAAAAATTATCTTATATTATAATAGCTTAAGCTACTCAAATAACGATAAAGTGATTCAAATAAACCCAAGTATTGCTACTTTTACTTAATTAATCTGAGTACTTCTTCAACCTCTGCCTATAAAATATGAGTAGACTAACACCAATGGTATTTATTGTGTGGCGGATAAATATATTTTCCATAGAATTGAATATTGTATAATTTCTCCAAATCTTCCACATCTGCAGGAGTAGGCTACACTGAAAACAATGATGCTGAAACTTTGATGAGAGGAAGAAGCAGATGAACACCAGGAATGTTTTACCACAAAAAAAATTATAATTAAATATAGATGGTGTGACATGAAAGTCAGTAACATCAGAGTTAACCTACACCCACAGTGGGAGCAAGCAGCATGAGAATGTGCATATTTTATAACTCTTTGAGCTTCAACCCAACCTTTTCAGAGAAGGTCAAACACAGTTAAATATTTTATTCCTTTTCAGTTTGTGTACTGAAGATACCCAGTCCCTACAGAAATAATGTGGAATTCAAGACGAAAAGTTAAAAAAGGAAGAAGACTTTTTATCTCATGGTTTGCTTTCAAACTGCTAACGGTTAAGCTAACGGTTTGTGGCTAATGATAGCAACCGCATCAATGAAAGTAAGGCCAATACTTTGAGTTAAATATTTGATCATTGATAGAAAATGTGATGGAGAAGACTTTGGTCCTCAGATTAAAGTCGTCAATTTGGCGATTGGATGATTCTCTGGCACCAACAGTTAGAGAAACGTTCATGCTAACAACGATTAGCATCGATCTAAACTAGATATCGTTAGCAAATGTTAGCTAGCCTTTCTTCAAAAAGAAACTGAATCCATAAACAATTGCCTTAACGCACAGAACTGCAATGATTGAAGCGTCTGATATTGTTATCAGTGTCTTATGAAATACTTTTCTTCCGTTTTTTCGATTTCAGGATAGCATATGGCAAGTGTTTTACAAATATTGTAATTACTCTTTTACTCATTTAGCAGACAGTTCCGGATCATTTAGCAAGTTGGGAAAATATATATTTTTAAGGCAAATTCAAAAATGTTGCATCCGACAGTATTTGAAATTGAGCAAGTTACCTGTCAATTATTCTCTTAATCCTTCATTCAGTTTATGAGTAAATTGTCAGAAATAGGGTTGTTACAATTCCCTCATGCCTAAAGTTCATGTCTTAAAATAGCTAGTCCCAAAAAATAATGTAATTGCTATCACATACCATTAAAAAAGCAGTTAATCCTAATGATTGATGGACAGACCAAAATGACAAACGATTATTCTATTTAATCTTTTAATCAATTAATTTTCTGTCATTCGAATAATCATGTCACTTATCAACCTTTAAAACATTTTTCAATGACACCCGGCATATCTTTATGGTAAAACACTGGACTAAAACATATACACTAGTGTAACTAAATGAGGCCAACAACACCAACAACAGTGCTGTCTCACATTGTGCACCCACACCATTGAAAAACTGTAAATCCACCCCCTGTGTCAACATACCAGATAATCATCCTTTTCTCCAACTCCTCCTTCCTCACACCCCCTCTTTCACCTTCTCAAAGACAGTTGTTCTCTGAGTGGCTTTCCCCAGCATGCAGCCAACACCAACGTTCTTCTTCCAAAGCCCGCTGGGATTCAGTCAAGTAGTCCATAATCCTGAGGCTAACCAAGGAAAGTGTACAGTGGTACCTGACGTAGGTGTGGAGTCTTTCCTGAGAGAGATAAGTTGTGGTTCTGATGCCTGCGGGGAGACAAACTTTGGTCAAGACTTGAGAGACCTGAAGGAGTGAAGATGATGGAGATGGGTCCACCTGCAGCCTTTTTGGTGCTGCAGCTGCTGTTTACTGTCAACTCATGTGAGGTAAGAAGATGCCACGACCTCATACCCCTCTTCTCTGTGTTAAAACATCACAAACCAAACATGTATTTTTCAATATTACATCAAATGTTCGGGGTTGGTGAAGATGTATAATCGTGTCCCATGGAGAGATAACTTTCAACGTTTTTTTGTCTGATAATTCTTTCTAACTCATTTTTCTTAACTTTAAAGCATTGAAATAGTGAATTTCATGTTAGTTTTACACACTTTGAAGAAAATAATCATTTGCTTTCACCCTAGAGTATTTTCTGCAGTGTTCCATGCAGCATAAAAAGGACTAGATAAATATGTTATTTCCTTCCGGAGAAGTTGTTTTTCTTACAGTTACTCCTATAATCACATTATTTAGAATGTATTCTTCAGAGTTTTGTATTCAGAGAAAAACATCTTTGTTTCAGAACTAGAAGAAGCAACTCTATTAATCCTACATCCTATTATGCCTTCTCTTTGCTCATTGTTGCGGCCAATTAGTTTTGGCTTTCAGTCACATTTTACAACTTTGCTTTGGTCTTTTGCACCATAAAAACATATTGATATGATGTATTTCCTAGAAATGCAAAGGGAGAGCTGCCTTGGTGACCATAAATACCCTGAAGGTGTTTCAAACTGCTCAGTTGTCGTTTCTACTCTATTGTGGCCCTCCATCTCCTGACAACCATGTTACTCCTACAGTAAGTGCTGCTGATTGAAATATTCATGTTAGTTCTGTGTATTCGCTGAAGGGCTTCTTATCTATAATCCATGTGTATCCTGAGGCTTCTTTACTGAGACAAGAAAGCTAAAGCATGTAGCTGCTGATGAGAACAAAGGCATAATAAAACATTTATCATAGGTTAGTTAAATTGTCGACATATAATAGCTCCGGGCGGTAACCACAGATCAGCGATGTTCTTCTGTAGTTGAGTTGCATTTAGGAGATGCTCGTCTTGTAGTAGGACAAACACTCTCACACACAGCTATTAACACTAATGTACTGTAGCGGGTCTTGGAGACCTCAGGCAACCTTTCACAGCTCAGAAAACATACTAAACACTGTTTCATCAGCTTGATACTACAGGGGAAATTATGCATCACCAAGCAAACCTCTGGGTCTGAAAAAATGAAGCCAATATGGAATTGTCTTAAAGGTCCCATCATATGCTTTTCTGTTTATTAGCCGTCCCCTTGTGTGTTAGGTAGCTTTTTCTGCAAAGTCACAAACCCCCAAAGTACACCCTGGGTGTTTCTCAATGTCATGGAAGGATGCTCCAGAGCCACTATTTCAAGGATGCTAGGTCATCGAGTCCTGCCGAAGGACTGGTCCAATGTCCAGGCTCCTTGGAATTCTACCGAGCCCAACGTCCTTCGTAGCGAGAAATTTCGAGGTCTTAAAATGCCCACAATGCTTTGCGCACGGACCAATTTCCCCGAAACTGTGGCGGAAAATTGAAGGCGGGGCCTCTCATATGACGCACACTTGCTCGCCTGTTCCACTCTTCGTTTTCCGAATGCCAGGAAGGACTCTTTCCTAGCTTCTGAAGGAAGTGACTCGGAAGACATGTCCTACCAAGGAAGCATCCTCGACATTGAGAAACACCCCCTGTAGCGAGTACAACTCTAACACAGAAAATACGTGTCTATGCTGCCCCAGAACGCCTCGTTGGAGATTTTCCTTTTACCATTTTTTCCTTCCGTGGCCTACTCACGTAACTAAGTCCAAATGGACAAAAGCTCCGTACACACACACACACACACACACACACTCACAACCTGTTAGTGTGTGTGTGTGCTCAGGCTGAGCTCTGCGGTGTCTCGTTGTTGACTAATCAACCACCGTGGGCGAGCTGACCAATCAGAGCACAGTGGGCTCATAGGGGGGGGGGAGGGGGCAGGAGCTCCAACAAGCCGTTTAGGACAGAGAGTGAATACACATGCTAGAGATGCTGTATGAGAAACCAATGTGATTTTGGAACATTGAACAATGTAAATCTATTCTAGTAGACCTCAACAATGGAAGTATGATCAGTAGAAATGGCCATGACATGGGACCTTTAAACTTGCATTCTCAGTATTAACCAGTAGGGGTTCACTGGTCACAAAAAAAGAGTCGGATTGTATAGAAGTCTATGAGAAAGTTACCTGATTTATCACTGGATTTATTACCTCACTTAGCATTGGTTTCCAAAGTTTTATACCTCTTCAGTTTCAATACAGCTCGCTATTCACTTTGTAAATGATGGTTATATTTAGAATAAAATATATAAAAAGCATGGTGTGCCAGATGGCGTGGTTACCTTAGGATTGACAGGTCCCTACAGCGGCGTTGTTTGGTTTTGGTGCTCTCTGTATTTTCGTCTAAGAAAAGTATTTCAATGAACCAAAAAATAAATGACCATGATTATGCAGATCGCTTCAAATTCCTTCCACAGTGTGTGAATGATGTTTATCTACGAATTTCAGATAACTCTTTAATTTAACAAAGACAAAAATCATCTTTGGTTCAGAAGCTTTTTGACAGAAAACTGCAAATCATCTTAGAAATATGTCATTCTGGAGAGCAGAAACTGAAGCTAGAAATATATGAGTGTAATCATAGACAGCAAACTAACTTTCAAGAGCCATACTAATCATCACAGCCTTGTACCATTTCAAAAACATCAAACTTATGGGCTTTCTATCAAAACCTGACTCTGAGATATGAATTCATGCATCAATAAAAAAGTAGAGTGCTGTTATGGATTATTCACCGTCACCCATTTGAAATCAGCGGTGCAGCGACTACAGCTGATTTCTTTCCAAAATAACATGAATGAACACTTTACAAGATTATAAGATCTGTGCATTGGTTCCCCATTAAAACTTGAATTTATTTCTGCTACTTGTAAACAAAGCTCACGCGGCTTTGCACCTCAGTACAAAAAAAACATGCTTATTAGAAACAAACCAACAAGACCATCTACTGTAGCTAGCTAACTCTGAAACAGGAGAGGCTGCTATCTGTATTTAGTCCCCAAGTAGATGGAACACCATGCTTGTATTTGTCGGTGAGAGTGTGTGTGTGTTTCTTTTAAGAACTTGTGTGTGTGACTGTGTCTTGAATATATTGTCCCTTGTATATAATAGATTTTCTAGCACGTTGTTTTGCATGATATTATGAACTGAATCTGCTTTAAAAATCATGTTGAATTGATTTAGATCTTGAACTCATTTACATAGCTTTTTCAGTTAATGAAACATTGTAGTCACTTAAAAAAAGCTTGAGGCTTCAGAGCCATAGTCCACAAACCAATGGCTACCAATGACATTAAATATCATATTACGATCATATGACATAACGGAGGCAAGTGAAATGAGACACTGCAATAAGCTGTAGAACAGGGACCCAGACATTAAACATAACGTATGACATTACATTTTATCATTACATCCATAATTGAGAGACTTCATGTATTATACAGAAACATTACAAGCCAAACAAATTCAACAACACTAACCAAAAACTCTAAAATCTAAGCTACTCTCATCCTAACTATTTAATGGTCTAAAATATGTGTTCAATCAGTCTGAGTATTGGTTTTAAATAGGTAAGATATAATCAAATCACTATAGTGGCAAACTATGGCACGTAACACATGCATCGTGTTATTTCCTGACTGTACATAACTGTTAACTATATTTGCAAAAGGCAGCATACTGTGCACTCCATACATGCACAGTATATGTAGTGTGGAATTGAGACATACTTCCTCTCTGTAGCAGATTTACTAGCTCCCTTTTTCATCTGCAGACTCTGCAGCTTGACACAAACACAACAATGTAGTGTAGTGGCACAGTGACTGGATGTTATTGGGGATGTTGCCTCCATGGAAACGCTGCAGACAGATCAAATAAAAACATCCTTTGAACATCTTGTTCCTCCACTCAAGTCTAGCTCAAAATGGGAAACAGCTTGCATACTGAGCTGGGGACAGGGGACTGCTTGCCACAAGGGGACAGTGTTGCATCAGTATGCAGTCCACATACTGCACATATACAGACACACACACACACACACACACACACACACACACACACACACACACACACACACACACACACACACACACACACACACACACACGCACACACACACACACACACACACACACACAGGTCAATCTATGGCATTGTGCTTTCATGAAGCCGTTTGCGTTCAATCAATACAAAGGAAAATGGGGNCTGTTTGGGAGTCACCGAACATCCCAAAAACACACATGCACGACTGTGTGCATCTAATACACACACACACACACACACACACAGGTCAATCTATGGCATTGTGCTTTCATGAAGCCGTTTGCGTTCAATCAATACAAAGGAAAATGGGGCGAAACGTGCAAAGAGGAAACAAAAAGACTGCAGGAAAGACAAAAAGGGGGAAATTAGAGGACGACAAAACAAGGAGGAAAGGATGTATGTCTAGGAAAGGAGATATCAAGAGAAAGGAGGATAAATGTACAGCTGTTTCTTGTCTGCTAATTTCATATTTTATATTATCTGCTTGTTCATTAAGGAGATATTGTTCAGGAAAAATGTGTTGAAGAAGCTCAGAGAATAGATGAGAGCATGAGTGAGAGGGAGAGATGGAGGAGTGAGTCTGTGAGACGGAGGGAGGGAGGGAGAGGAGAGCGTTAGTGGATAAATGAGAGAGCAGCGCTGGCTCAGCCACAGCTTCTTACTGCCAGGCGGAGGAAGGAGTCCAGGAAACACACACAGAGATCAGTCGGACCTAAGCAGCTGTTTCCAGGAGCTTCTCCTGCAGCCTCAGAAGAGCGTTGGATTTTCCCTCTTGATTCATCTTCCCATGGAGGCATCTGGAGAGGCTTGTGCTCCAGGACTTATCCTGTAACCTGTGGCAGTGTGGGAGACTTTAGCAGCGGGACGAGCCTGGCTGGGTTTTCTTCTTGGGCTTATTGCTCGTGTTACCTGTCGCATCATGTTGTGCTGCTGCTGTTTTTAAGCATGAATCCTGTCAACAGTTTGGACTGTGTGTGAGAGCCGGCCAGAGTTTCTGTTTGTTTGTGTGTGAATGTGTGTGTGTGAGGATGAGTGTTCCCATGTTGAAGATTGGCGCTGTGCTCAGCACCATGGCGATGGTAACTAACTGGATGTCCCAGACCCTGCCGTCGCTGGTGGGACTCAATGGAACCATCATTTCCCCTGAGGGCACACATGAGCGGATCGTCAGTGTATGTATTCTGTAAAAACACACTTTGTACACACACACACACACACACACACACACACACACACACACACACACACACACACACACACACACACACACACACACACACACACACACACACACACACACACACACAAGAAGTGGCTGAGAACAGATGGAGATGTTCAGTGCTGCTACTTCATGCCATGTCAGCAGATGACAAACAGAAATATCTGAGATTTTCAGCTTTTGTGTGACTGTAAATCACTTTGACGATGTTTTCCGTTCTGTCAAAAGAAATCAAACACTTCTTCATTGACATCCATCAAAATGTGATTATTATTATGGACTATTATTATTATTATTATTATTATTATTATATAAAAGTGAAATTGGTACAGTTTGTTTTCATCTAGTCAAACTGTTGGTACAGGCTGGTTTGGTCAAGTGTATCCATTCATTTGAGTTATTTCAATAGTTCATCCATTTATATTGGCTAACTGGGGACTATAATGGTAATAATACATTACCATTGCCAATTTAACCATTTGTTTATTATTTTTTAGCAACCTATTTGAACCATTCACAGATTATCTTTAGCTATTTTCACCATTTATCTGTTACATTTACCTACTGTAACATTTATCTATTACTTTTTCCTATTAAAACCCTATCACCTTCAGAAAAAAAGCCACAGGGTTCAAATAAAGGTTGATGACAACGTGTAGATGTTTAGATTTGTTGTGTGTGAATAACACTACAGTATCTCCACCTCCTCTCTCTTTATCTTTTTAATTATCCCAGAAATTAAGCTCTGTTAGCTCTCAACACTCTCTCTCTCTCTCTATTTGCACTGATCACAATCAGCTTAGCTGCCTGAGTAGATTTTTATCATTTTTCCCTCGCGTGAAATGAACCCTTATGTCGTCCTCTGTTTAATGACATCCAGCAGTAGGCACAAACGGTGCTTATATTCTCATCCCATCCACGTCCTCCTTTAAAACACCCTTACCCTGTCCGCTTTATTGTAAATAGGACTTCAAGGTTACCACAGCAAACCCAGCTGATTGATTTATCAGATGTTTCCCTCCAGGCCCCCCCCCCCC